AAAGGAAAGGAAAGGAAAGGAAAGGAAAGGAAAGGAAAGGAAAGGAAAGGAAAGGAAAGGAAAGGAAAGGAAAGGAAAGGAAAGGAAAGGAAAGGGGAAAGGGGAAAGAGGAAAGAGGAAAGAGGAAAGAGGAAAGAGGAAAGGAAAGAGGAAAGGGAATGAAAAGGAAAGAGGAACAAAAAGAGGAAAAGAGGAAAGGAAAGAGGAAAGGGAAAGAGGAAAGGGAAAAGGAAAGGAAAGAGGAAAAGGAAAAAGGAAAGAGGAAAAGAAAGAGGAAAGGAAAGAGGAAAGGGAAAGAGGAAAAGAAAGAATTAAAGAAAAAGGAAAAGAAAGAGGAAAGGAAAGAGCAAAGGAAAAAGGAAAGAGAAAAGGAAAGAGAAAAGGAAAGAGAAAAGGAAAGATGAAAGGGAAAGGGAAAAAATGAAACCTTGAAGTAAAAAGCTCCAAAAATCAGCCTGTAAAAACCTCAGCCCTGGGGAAATTTCCAAATGCTCCGGATGGATCCCACCAAACATCCCAAACCTGCTCCAGATGGATCCCACCCAACATCCCAACCTGCTCCAGACAGATCCCACCAAACATCCCAAAGGATGGATCCCACCAAACATCCCAACCTGCTCCAGATGGATCCCACCAAACATCCCAACCTGCTCCAGACAGATCCCACCCAACATCCCAACCTGCTCCAGACAGATCCCACCAAACATCCCAAAACTGTTCCAGACAGATCCCACCAAACGTCCCAAAGGATGGATCCCACCCAACATCCCAAAGGATGGATCCCACCAAACATCCCAAACCTGTTCCAGACAGATCCCACCAAACATCCCAAACCTGCTCCGGATGGATCCCACCCAACATCCCAAACCTGCTCCAGATGGATCCCACCAAACGTCCCAAACCTGCTCCAGATGGATCCCACCAAACGTCCCAAACCTGCTCCAGATGGATCCCACCAAACATCCCAAACGTGCTCCAGATGGATCCCACCCAACATCCCAAAGGATGTGTCCCACCCAACATCCCAAGCCGGGAGCAGAGAACTCCTCTTCTGAAGAGCAACGGGCCCTCAGAGCCGGTTGTCCAGCCTAGAGCAGAGCCTGGGGCAGCAGGAGGGGTCCTACCTCGGGGGCTCAGGGCCCGGGGCGAGCGGAACAGGAACAGGGCCAGCAGGCTGACAGGCTCCTTGGGCTCCAGGCCTGCCAGAACAGAGCTGGGTGAGCAACCAGGGCTGGGTGAGGAACCAGGGCTGGGTGAGGAACCAGGGCTGGGTGAGGAACCAGGCTGGGTGAGGAACCAGGGCTGGGTGAGGAACCAGGGCTGGCTGAGGAACCAGGGCTGGGTGAGGAACCAGGCTGGGTGAGGAACCAGGGCTGGGTGAGGAACCAGGGCTGGGTGAGGAACCAGGCTGGGTGAGGAACCAGGGCTGGGTGAGGAACCAGGGCTGGGTGAGGAACCAGGGCTGGGTGAGCAACCAGGGCTGGGTGAGCAACCAGGGCTGGGTGAGCA